ACACGGTAACGGTCGACGGCCGAGGCCACCGTGACGAGCGAAAGCCATTTTACCACGAGGTAGTGGCTTGCTGAGGTGGAGATGGGACGCGATGCCAAATGCAAACGGCGAAGCGATTGAGTTGGCGGTAGTGTTGTTCCGCCTGGTGTTGACTTGAGACCGATCCAGACGGCGAGTCGAGATATAAGGCGAAGGAATTTAAGACAGAAGACAATGACGCCGCGAGGCCTCGAATACTGGAAGAATCAAGAACAACAGCCGCATGCGTCGGCAGACGCCAGAGAAGTCATGGACGTGGGTGGGATTCCGGCAAGATAAGGGACCGACCAAGCCAAGGCACTTGGCATGGGCACATGGGCTGGCGGTCCCTAGGAGCAACAAGCAACAAGCAGCCTGGCAAAGAAGCTCTGATTGACAGCAGCGCCCCTGAGACTGGAGACTGAAGACTGGAGACTGAGAAGCGCAGACCCGAAAGAGAAAAGAATCGACAGCTGGGGGTCGAGGACGCGTGAAGCAGGGGGCCAATCAATGTCGCATGTTGACCTGAATGGACGGTCGAATTGGCCAATGGATTGCCCATCGTTCATCCCATGAGCGCACAAGGAAGAGACTTTGTTTCTCGGTTGATGTTAAGACTCAATAGAGAAAGGCAATAAGGTGTCGCGGTGTGTTTCCCTCGTTTCTCGGCTCTTTCCTTTTCGTTTTGCTACGTATTTCCTGCCACTTTTCTCTCTGGGAAACAGCGAGCTGCATGACGCCACGGACCATGTGGTCTCCACACAAAGCATGACCCAATCGCCCAATGGAAGGTAGGTACGGAGGAAGGATAGGTACAAGCGTAAGGTGCCCAGGTACTTGCAAGTCAGGGGTGGCCTCGACCGTGGCATGGCTTTCCGTGGTAAGACATGAACAGAAAGAAAGAAAGAGGAAGGAGCAAGAGAGAAACTGGCAGGCCGTGGCTGACAGGAAAGACGGAACGACGCGGCAGAAAGAATTCAAGTCCCGAAAATGGAAGATGGAGGTGCGCGAGAAACGACGCAGCCCAGAACATATGCCAGAAACAACTGACAAGTTTGACCCAATGGCAATCCAAAGGCAATGAACAACCAACCGATGGCAACCACAGGTCCACAGTCCACAATCAAGCCAGAAACGCCCGCCCCCCCCCCCCCCCTGTGCAATTGCATGCATGTGTGCAGATCTGACTAGCTGCTGTCCATCCCAACTACCTCGAGTCTAGAGCCATCCACTTGGGGTCATTGATGGTTGAGCCACCAGTCCAGCACAGGAAGCCGTCGTCCGCCAGCTCCAAAGTATTCCCCCGGCCGGTTTACTCTCTCAAGGTACTCTGCACCCTCATAATCAATACTACCTACGGAGTATGTAGCTATCTACAACGTGAAGCTCCTTTCAATGGCAAGCCATGTCTGACCTTCTTCTGTAGCGTCGTCCAGAACTCCAGTTGCTGTGAGGTACCCGTACTCCGTACCCCGGCCAGCCCGCCTATTCGCCCATCACCATCCATGGCGGTTTACCCTGCACCTGCACTTCCACACTTCCCAATTGCGACCCTGGACCAGCCCATCGTCGCTAGAAGCCTTAGCTCGCCTGGGCCTGGCAACTCAGCCGGGGCTCCTCGCTCTCCGATTCGCAAATCTCCATATCTACTCCCCACGATCCCCTCCTCGCCTCCTTCTCTCTCCTCTTCACCTCACATCATCACTTTACGTGACCTCACCGACCTCCACCCTCCTCCTCTTCCTCCTCCCCCGGGGTGCATCTCATCCTTTTTCAAGAGTTGCTTTCCCCTTGCTCGCCTTTTCGTTTTTGTCTTTGGTCACAGATATAGACAGACAGCAGAACCTCTCATCGCCTCTGCTAGTCCATTGTCCTCGGCTCTTCACCCTTGCACTTGTCTCATTGTCTTGCATCGTGTCTCTGCAGCTCCACGCCGCCGCCGCCCTCGATCATCCGCCCCTCTATTCCATTGTCTCACCCTTGGTTCAACCGGCCCGCCTACAGCATTTCAGAACCACTAGCCAAGCCTACTATCAAAAGATTACGCATTCCTCTCGTAAACGACCCGACTCCTGACGGCTCTCCGTCCAGCTTCTACCAGCCTTCAATGCGCTCAACTTAATCCCTAATAACATAATCTGTCCGAAATCGCGGAGTCTGGTACCCGCTTGCTTGCTCGAGCTTACATTTGCCGAAATCGTCTGTATAGCGAATCACTTAGCGTCCAGCGTCTTTCGATTGTCAATCACCTGTCATAAGCTGCCTTGAGTTTATTCACCACGTCAAGCACTGTTGAATCACCACCAGACTCAGACTTGAAAACGCCTACCTTACTCCTCGACACCTTTACGTTTCGCATCGCCCATTCGTCGTATCCGTACCGAGTGTCACTTCGACTTGCCAGCCACAGCCAAGGCATAATGCGTTCTACCTTGGTCCTCGCCCAGCTGTCCCTGTTCTTGACGTCTGTTCACGCCTTCTTTCCCTGGGACGTATCTGAGCATTGTCCATTCGAAGGTGGATGCAGTTCCCACAAGAGGGACTTGAAGGATCAAGATGCCCTTGGATCTGATGTCGTCGATGCCATCAAGGCCATCAACTTTCCCGGCTTCCATGTCGGCCCTCAAATTAAAAAGGAATCTTTGGTAAGTCGAAATATCCTGATGAATACTCAGAAGTGGCTTTGGGATCCTGGTCAAACCACTCACCAAAGAACAACATGAAACTTTGAGCCCAGGGTCGCTAACGTAAAGCCTTGTAGACTGAAGAGTCCGAATCCGAACGAGTTGCCCGTGAGGTACAACGTCTTTCCCGCAAGTATGCGAGATTCCAGTCCGCTGCTATCCGAGAAAGGGCATCCAAGTCTAAGAGACAGAGCCTGTATCGCATTGTCACAGCGGCGGACACCACTCTCAAGACCGCAGCCGCCGTCGCTCAGGATGGTACCGACTTTTCCTACTTTGCTCAGGTCAAATTAGGCTCCAAGGAGAAGCCTCTATGGATGCTCATCGACACCGGAGCTGGAACTAGTTGGGTTATGGGCAGCTCCTGCACATCGTCGGCTTGCGAGAAGCATGGTTCATACGGCCCTACGGACTCGGACACGTACAAACCAAAGGGGGAGACCTTTGCTGTCGCCTACGGGTCGGGTTCAGTCAAAGGCGACAAGATCACCGACACTGTTTCCTTCGCGGGCATGAAGTTTGACTTCCAATTCGGCGTGGCCAACGAGACGTCGGATGATTTCAACCACTTCCCTTTCGACGGCATATTGGGACTTTCCATGGCGGGTGGCGAGACCGAGAACTTCATGCAAGTTGTCAAGAGTTCCGGCCAACTTCCTGCAAACATTTTCTGTGTATATCTCAACAGAGCGGCAGATGGACCGAACACGAGCGAAATCAGCTTTGGTACCTGTAACACCGAAAAGTACACTGGCAACATCACTTACACCGGAGTTGGAAACGACAACGGAGACTGGGCAATCCCTCTTGATGGCATTCAGTACGACGGCCTCAAGTCTGGCGCAGCTGGCAAGCTCGCCTATGTTGACACCGGTACCTCTTACGTCTTTGGACCTCAGAGCGACGTCGCTGCCTTCCATAAGAACATTCCTGGATCTACCTCGGACGATGGCACGACGTACAAGGTGCCGTGCGACAGTAACAAGGATGTAACATACACATTCTCGGGTGTTAGCTATGTCATCTCCCCTAAGGACTGGAGATCCAGCCCTGCAGCAGACGGTACATGCACCAGCAACATTTACGGCCATGAGGTCGTAGCGGGAGCCTGGCTTTTAGGAGACGTCTTCCTCAAAAATGTCTATGCTGTATTCGACAAGGACCAAAAACGCATAGGTAAGTCGCCACTATCATGGTCATCTCATCACCCTCGATACTAACCGTTATCACTTTAGGATTTGCGACTAGAGTCGACCCTCCACCAGTAACTAGCACCGCAATTGCTTCGGCCACACCGGCAGTGGTTAACAACCCTGGCCAAACGACTGTTGTGTCAGCTGTTCCGACGAGCGGTCCCGCCCTTGGTCTGGGAGGCCATGAGACTGCCACAGGGAGCGCCGCTGCGCAGACCTCACCCGCAGCCCAGTCAGGGGCTGCATCATATGCCTCTACCACTCACATCAATGTGGCCGCTGCAGCATCTTTATGCTTGTTCGCTATGTTGGGATTCTTCTGAGGAGTTTAAGTTTTGTTCAGGCGCGGCGATCTTGGGATTGCAGATATGGATGGGAAATTGGATGGTTATGTGCACATGATACCCCCTGGGGACCGACACAGACGGGCCCCTACAATTCGGCCATTGTAGATATAGATATAACTTGTAATGGTAAATAAAAGCGTCTGATTCTTTGCGGCTATATTTTGTTTCTATTTCATGCTGCTTATTCAGGTGTTGAGTCTCTCTATGCCTTTATGCTCCCATGTAGATGTCTTATCGGCCGACACTACGAAATGCTTTCTTATTTGGAGAGAGCGATTTTATGTGTGAAGATCTTCATCTCTGCTTGCGGGGAGTTCAACATCCGAAAATGGCTAAACCAGAAAGTAGCGTCGATACCATTTCGTCGATGCTCCGTAGTGCATACATCACTACGTGACTGTGTATACCTCGTAAGTCATCACGTTTCGACAGAGAAAAAGTTGCGAAATCCGTCTTGTTAAAGAAAAATACTGTTTTTCTTTTGGCAATTCCCACGCCAATCCCAGTTGTCGCGTCTACCAAAAAACGAAAGAAAGAGAACACCATAATGTTTAAATACCCTGAATACCTTACTTGGTCTACCAAAAACCACGGTGTTATACAACGGTTCCGGGGTTTGTCTATAACCCATTCTCTCCCGTCTCTCCACAGCGCGCCTGGAACGCGATGGGGGCGGCCAGCTGGTTTCCTACTCTTACTCTAGACGATACAAACAACCCGTCTTCTTCATCTTTTTTGTTCTTTAATCATACAGTGGTTTACATGCACTTTGCAGGTCCGCCGTCACCTGAGGCTGTAGTTAGTTGACCAGATGATCCTGAGGAACGGTGTGATTTTGGTCAAGGGGAAGGGGGGTTACAACATACTGCTAATCATCTTGGCGACCGCCTGTATGAGACTAATCACCATGACAACGGTGCCAAACACAATAATAGCGGCGGCGACGTACGTCTTCCACGAGCGGGTGGTGAGCTTGATGTAGCAGAGCGGGGGGAGGATATACGCAATGGCGCAGGCGGACGTGGCGCCCACCAGCTCGAAGACGGCGCCGACGTCGCAGGTGAGCAGGCTCATGACCATGGCGGAGACGACGAGGGCGGAGCTGAAGATGAGGTGGAGGTGCATGTTGAAGGGCTCGCCGGGGAAGAAGTAGTTGAACATGACCTCGCGGCAGACGAAAGCCTCGAGGGGTAAAGTGGTGAGCATGTTGAGGCCGAAGCAGAGGCGTGCGATGGTGACCATGACGTTGTCCGAGGGGAAGTTGTTGAGGACGTTGCCGAGCGTCTTGTCGCCGAAGGTGACGAAGCCGGCGAGGGCGACGAGGAGGCAGGCGACCATGGAGATGCCGGTCGAGTAGTGCGTCACGCGGGAGAAGCGGTCTATTGTGGGGGTTTTGAGGGAGCCGTAGATGAGGAGGGAGTTGTGGTGGCATACGAATGCTGATGATCATTTTCATTGCCCCGTTAGCTGAAGAACAGAGGTTGTGTGAGAGACATGCAAAGGTGGACGAACCGAAGGATATCACGCCAATGGCTTCAAATATGCCAGTGTTTACGGTCAGAAGGGCGGGTGTGAAGGAACCCCGGTCAGCCTTGGGAGTGAGAGCTCCCTGGATAATGACAGTCGCTACGATGACACCCATGCTTATGAGAGCTAATGTGCTTGCCTTGGCCAGCTATCAACGAGGACGAGTATCGTGTCAGTATTCTTGTTTCTGGCCCCCAGTTAAGATGCAACAGGCGACTCACCTTTGCAATATCACGGTACAGGGTCAACGGGTAGCTGATTCCCAAGATGAAGATTACAATGACCACCTGCCGGTTCGCCAAGAGGTGGAACACGGGCATTTCGCGTATGTCGGGCCAGATGGCCGTGAAGACGTGGGGTATTGAGTCGCCGACAATGACGCCAAAGGCGACCATGCCGCCAAAGGCAAATGCCCACTGCGCGACCGAGATGGCGATGAGCCCCGTCTTGCCAAAGCAGTGCTCGACCGTCCCCTGAAAGCTGTTGCTCCCCGACAGCTTGCTATTGATGACGATGAGGCAGATGGTCCAGTCCACGACGACGGTGAGGCCGACAAGGAGGACGAGTCCGGCCAGTAAGCCGGCCTGCTTGAAGGCGTAGGGCTGGCCGATGATGCCGGCGCCAATGATGGAGTTGGCCATGTTCATGAAGGCCATCTTGAGGCCAGACTTGGGCCTTGCGCGCTCCTGCTCGGCCCATTCGTGTACGTCGTCGGCATCCTCGCCCCAGGGACTGTTGGCGAGGGCGACGGAAGGGGCCTCGATGTCTGTGAGGAGGGGCAGGCGGTGGTGGTCGTCGTGGTCGTCGGCGCCGGGGGCGTGGTGGAAGAGGTCATCGTCGACGTCGAAGCTGTCGCGGCTGGCGCGGGCGGAGGAGCCGCCGTTGCTGTTGGTCATTGAGGCGCGGGGGGGCGGGGGCTCGACGATGGAGGGGATGGGGTTGAAGCGGACGCGGTTCGGGGTCCGGGGGGTGCCGGGAGATCGGAGGGACGTGGCGTACTGCTTTGCTGTTACAAAGTACCCCTCGTCACCGGTGTTGGCGGTGGTGGTTACGCCGGCGCCGTGAGATTCATGGTGGTGCGGAGAGAGGGGGTCGTCAGCGAGGAGGCCTCTGTCCTCTTCGCTCGGGCTGTGGTGGAAGTGGGCGGCGACGGCGCCCGGGAGGTGGGAGTCAACTTGGTGGGCTCCATGATTTGGGGCCTTGGCCATTGTAAGTTATTGCGATGTCATCTTCCGTGGAGACAGAAAGGGGGTTTGGCGAGGAGAAGGCGAACGGAATCGCGAATCGTAATGTGGTTTGGAGGCGGTTGTTGGGTATAGCGGGTGCTAGTTGTCGTCGTTCTGACGTTCGTGGACTGTGGTGAGCTTGTGAATAAGGTTGTAGATATCGTGTCCCTTTCGCTACTGCCGGTGGTTCAAACTTCCAGGTTGGAGGGAAAATGAGGCAGGCGTCTAGAGTCGGCTCTCGTTCCGTCGACGTTGCGAGCTGGAGCTTACCTGACCTCAGACGGGGGTACGTACCCCTAGTGGCAGTATGGCACCGTGTTCTCGAAGTTTAGGGGACCGGGAGCTGTCAGCAGTCCGACCAGTCCGCGTCCGCGTAGCCGGCAACGCCGCTGGCAAGGCCCGCAGGGGGCATGGCAATGGGGCTACGGGGAATTGCACTGAGCAGTGTTGTATCGCTATGTAGCCTTTGCCTGTCTAGATGTATGGGTGTACTCGTAAATACCTCTCGATGTATCCGGCTAGTCTTTCTCTGCCTCCCCACCCCAGTTTGCAGTTATCCCGCACAGCATTCGGATATCTTATCTTATCCGTAACTTTGTACCTTCACACCACCGCATGGGAGACTTATCGATGAAAAATATTCCGACCAGGCTTTGCGATAACAGCAGCGAGCAGCACGCAACCGCTCAGCCCAGCCGAATCAGACGACACACGACCCCGGCGATAAGCCATTGGACTCTGGAGAGCTTGTCTCACTGTCCGAGTGTTCGAGACCTTTGAGCAGACTATCAGTGTCGACCCCGGATTCGAGTATCTAACCGTGGGGTCCATTGGAGGACGAAGACTGCATTACGTGCTTCCACATCTCACTCGTCCCAGACGCACAGAGACAACCACTCGGCCGGGTCCAGGTACCTTTTACCGACTGACAGGTCCATGACACTCGCTTGCAGCTCAGCTCAGTCGTGATTGATCAGCCTCATGGCTACCGTGCCATAGCCGCTCACTCAGTCTAAGTACGTTTGACGTATCTGAGAGAGAGGAAACGGGGGGCACTCACACGAAAATCTTCCCTCATCGGCGGCGGGGAAGTCTTCCCTTTTATTCCCATTCTGGCAGCACCTCACGCATCATCGTCTACGACTACCGGTCCCCCCGTCTTTCATGCCGTGTGTCACTGCTTTTACGTGACCACTTTCCCTTCCACCAAACAACCTTCCTACTCCATACTACGTACCTTACCCAATCTCGAATTTCACTTCTCCCACAACTCGGCACTATCTGTCGCCTGACACAACCCAATTTGATCACAAGCATTTGCGTACCCTTCCGCCCCCTTATCTTTATCTTACACTCGCGCACGCAGCGCACGCACGCCCCCGCGCTCCTCGGCTCGGCTGTCGCCCGGTTCCGCCCGCCCGCCCGTCATGGACATGGACACCACACCGGCGCCCTACGGCGACCCCGCCACCGCCGGCCCGGGTTCAAAGACCATGCCGGCCTCCTCGCCGTCAGCCAACATCCCTTCCTTCGAGTCACACCCCTCTGCAGCAGCCGCCGTCGGCCAAACAGCGGCACAAGCAGCACTGGGCGCCTCCAATGCCGCAGGCACCGCCCAGAGTCGACCATGTGACATATGTCGTCAGCGCAAGACGCGCTGCGTCCGCGAGGAGGGCCGTGATAAGTGCGTCATGTGCTCCTTTCACGGCCAGCCGTGCACATATCTCCGCGGGCCGCTCCCGCGCAAGCGCCGGAAGGCCACCGATCCCCCGGAACATCGCCCCTCGACCAATGGTTCCGTCTCTGCAACCTCTGGTCTTCCACCTGCTCCCGTCCCGTTGGATCCCCAGGATGAGATAACGTAAGTGATGTGACATTCCTCTTATCGTACCTTCATCTTCCCGTCGTCTTGAACTGCCCTCGACGCTGGTCTAGACTCTCCAGCCTACCTCACCCTACGATACCTTGCCTTTCCTTTGTCTCATTGTATCACGGTACCTCGTCCTTCCTGAATAGTCTCATTGCCCCCTTCTCATTGGCTCATGCCATCAACCTTTTCCGGCTGTCCAGTGTCACGGGTCCGTCCTCATACACCTATTCGTCTCTCTCTCTCTCTCTCTCTCTCTCTCTCTCTCTCTCTCTCTCTCTCTCACTCTCCCTGGCCCAGTAAAGAATCTCACTTTCTCCCTCTCCGTCTCTCTCAAGTCACCCAGTCTAACGGACCCACAGGCATCCGTCTCCCGAACTGCTTGAGGCCCTGTCACCGTCTCTCGCCGGTTCAGAACACCACGTAACATTCAACCAACCCGTCTCCCTCCTAGACGGCACCCTCGGTCTCCATCTCAAGACCCATTCCCAATACGTCGGCAACACAGACTACCGGGAACCCTCCCTCCTAGACCTCCATCGTCCCCAAGACCCGGCCGTCAGGTTCGTCCGCCGCCTCGACGACTCAACCGTCTTCCTCATCCACCGCGACCGCGAGACCTCGTCAGAACCCCAACGAATAGCCGACCTCGACGCCATAGAAAAGGTCGTCCACCCACTCGGCTCGACCCTCGTCAACCTCTACTTCCGCATCGTCCACCCTAGCTTCCCCATCCTCCACAAAAAGGTCTTTCTAGAGAAATACGCCCGCTCTTACCATGAGTTCTCACCGCCCCTCCTCGCCGCCGTCTACCTCCTGGCCCTCGACTGGTCCTTGTACGACCGCACTCTCGCCACCTCATCATGGCAGCCAGACCAGGCCGCCCTCGAGGCCCTCGCCCTCCGCACAATGAGCGACGACATGAAGCGCCCCAAGATCTCCACCCTCCAAGCCGGCCTCCTCATCCAGCAGCGCTTCCGCAATAACACCTGGACCTTCACCGCCCAGCTCATCGCCCTCGGCCAGGGGCTCGGCCTCCACGTCGACTGCAGCGACTGGGCCATCCCGGACTGGGAAAAGGGCCTGCGCCGCCGCCTCGCCTGGGCTCTGTTTATGCAAGACAAATGGGGTGCCCTCGTCCACGGCCGGCCCTCGCACATCCGCCTCGACGAGGACTGGGACGTCCGGCCGTGCTGTATCGAGGATTTTCCTGAGAACGCCGCCGATGAGGAACACGATCCCGAGGGCAGTGCCGAGGTCGTTGTCGGGCGTGAGCTGTTCCTGCGGCAGATTGAGCTGTCGCTCATCCTTAGTGACGTGCTCGGCACCTTTTACACGGCCAAGGCGACCCGCCGCGGTGGCACTCTCGACCAGATCGGCACCGTGGGCGTCGCCGAGCTCGCGAAACCTATTGTCATGATGCTACGGGAGTGGTACGCGAAACTCCCTGAAGCCCTCCAGCTCCAAGAGACACGACTCAAAAAGCTCTCTGCGAATGGTAAGTTCACGCTCCCCTCCTCCCCATGAAAAGCATTCACTAACCCATTACAAAGGCTCCCTCCACCTCTCCTACATCTCAATAGACCTCGCCCTCCACCGCTCCCTCGTCCGCAACGTCTCCTCCAACGCGCCCGACTCCCTCCGCCACGCCATCCGCACCGGCGCCCGCGCTCGCCTCGCAAACGCCTCCAACATCATCTCGAATCTGCAAATGGAGCACATCCAGTCCTTTTGGGGCTTCGCCGCCTCCGCCCAGCTCGCCGCCATCGGCTCCTTTGCGGGGCTGCTGTGGGCCACTTCGGACGACGACGCCGAGGCCATGTACTACGCCGACCGCGTCGAGGAGTACCTCTGGAGCCTGCGCGTCCGAGCCCAGGCGGCGCCGTTTGCGAGGGAGGCGTTGAGGATGTTGGAGGCTGATGTGGGCGGGTTGGGGGCTGTGAGGGCTTCTGCGGAGATTAAGATCTAAGAGGAGCTGGAGGTGAGATTTCTGACCTGGTCCGGGAAAACTCTTCTTCCCTTCTTACGGTCATGAGTTTATGTAGAAAGTGGAAACATGTACAATGATTATGGTCATGGCTGGCGAAATCTGGATTTGGTATATCAAAAAAGGGGGGGAGGGCGGCGAGGTGGGGAGAACACTTGCTTTGGGGTGCTTATGTTACTTACTCACATAGTCCGCGTGTTGTTTGCATAGTTTTGTCTCTTGGATACCCGTAAATCACTTCGATAGAAGAAACAAGAACCACGTTTGTGTGTATGTTTGTAACATCATTGCGCGTGAACCCTGGCGAACGCTCTCCAAACTACGAGTATCTAAGTCTATAAACCAACGTCTAGTCAGCGCTTGTAAATCCAGATTCAAGTTATCAATATGGAGCTAGACATCACTCAAATACGAGACCGCACTCTACCCCTACTCCACGGTGCCTCTCTCTCTCTCACTCAGTCGCAACAACGAGCAAATCATCAAACGGCCCAACTACATCCCCCTCCGCAACCAACATCCTGACAACCCTCCCCTTCACGGGACTCCCAATCTTGATCTCCATCTTGTTCGACTCAATCCACACGAGCGCGTCCCCAACCTCGACCTCGTCCCCCGCCTTCACCTCGCACTTCCAGCACCGGCCCGGCATCTGCGCCTTGATCCTCTCCCCTACAACCCCACCGTCGCTGCTACCGTCACCATCCTCCCCAAAAATACCGTGCCGTTCGCGCTCGCTCTCTGGCGGGTTATAAGGCTGCAGCAGCTCCTCCATAAGCGGCACGTTGCGAATCGCCTCGGCGCGGAGGTTACGCGTAGCTTCAATATCGGCTTCGTTGGCCGCCAGCCACGATTCGTATTCTGCGAGGTCGAGGCTGCCTTCTTCGATGCGGACGAGGTCGGAGATGCGGCCCTGTGTAATGGCGGCGTCGAGGTCGGGCTCGGGGATGGGATAGTAGGATATCCGGTCAAAGAGGCGGAACATCCACGGCTGCTGCTGTTGTCGCTCTCCCGCGGTATCCGTCCTGCTGCCAGTGCCGCGCGAACGCGATACTACAGCGGAAGCGGCAACATCATCCCAGATCGGGACCGTCCGCCCGACGAGCTGGTACCCGCCCGGCGAATCCA